GGTGTTTTTTCACATCGAGAGCAACAACAATCAAAGTGTTAGGTGGTTCAAATGCATTAGTAGAAATAGATCATAGATGAAAATCTTTTCGTACGCCGGAAAAATAATGCAAGGTGTGTAGGTACTATAGCTGTATATTATATTATCTCAACAACGGGTGTTAGGTGGTTTTAGTCGTGAAACAGAGGATTGTGTTATGGTTAGTGTGCCAAATAGATCAGAAATTACATTGATACCTATCATTAACTGGTATATTATTAGACATGATTTCATATTTTTTTCTGAAAGCTGGAAAACTTATGCTAATTTGCAACAACATGGATTTAAAAATAATCAAGTTCATCATGAATACAATTTCTTAGACCCTAAATAAAAATGTAGAGATGATGTGGAGTTTGGTCAAATATAGCAAAAAAAAAACGTAAAGGAACAGATAGAAATTGTTTGACTCGTAGGCTTCGTAAATGACGAAATTTATATGACGATAAAAAATAAATAATTGTAATCCGTTTGAAACGATTTTAAATGATGTAGCATAATTTGTATTTATTATTATTTTATTTTTTTAAAGTATTTTACAAGTGTCAATTAGAGGGTTCAAACCCATCCTTTAAAAAAGTAGAAAATAAAAAATGTTTAGTATATACAAAAATGTAAAATGTTTATTTTTTAAATCATTACTTTTAACTGAATAAATAATTTATATTAATATATTATATTATACTAAATTTATAGTGTACAGTATAGTGCCCAAGGTGTATTGATAGTGCCTGTATTGTATTGTGATGAGAGTTTAAATAATAAAACAAAATTGATACAAATTAATTCCAATCATTGAATGCATTTTACTATGTGGTTACCAGAAAATTCTTTTAAGTATGAAGTATGAAAGAGGTATGGACCCTCCCAATAGAAAATTCATAGCTATAGCCCAGAGTCTAATTTAAAAATTAGAGTGAATTGACCTTTACAATTCAAAGGTATATATATCAAGACGATCTCATCAGCTTTTTACGATACTTTAATATACTTGTTTATGACTTTAATTATGAAGGGACTAAGGGAGTTATAATTTTTTTGTACATCATAAAATACTTATAACATAGTTTATAAAAAGTACACTAGATGGTGTTAGTGACTATGCCAAAAGTAAAAAGCTTCAGGCTTCACTATCACACGTTTATCTGGTATCCTGATTCCTGTAGATTTTATAAATTCGTACTACTCAATTTTTCTATTYCATTTTCACTGTCGGTAATTATTATCTATAAATTCAATGTTAAAATTTATCAATAATCATTCAATATTTACTATTTAGTATTTATCTCTTAACTCTTAAGTGCAAACCGCGTATAGTTACTAATATTACTATAATTTTTCATCAATAATTTGTTATAAAAGTTGTATGTGAATAAGTTAAATTACAGTATGTCTTTTTCGGTGACATGTTTGCTAAAAAAACAAAATCGATTACTTGCTACAATGAGTGTACGGCACAGAAGTCAACGTAGAAATTTAGGGAAACCTCCTGGTATAGCAAAAACACTAGAAGAAAGATTGGAAGGTACTTACTTACTTTACTTATGGTATGATTGAGTATCGATTATTGTTAAAATATCTTATTTATTAGAAATTAACTTCAAAGATCCAAAGATTCACTTTAAAGTTGACATTGGATTACCTACACCACAAAGAGACAAAAAAATGGAAACAGCTAAGAGAATTGAGTTTATAAAAAAAATAAAATCCAATGCTGAACTTGAAAAGTTATCTAGAAACAATGAGTGTATGTATATTATATTGTAAAATGTTCAGATGTATAGAACATGTTATAGTTCATAGAGACATAAAAATATTTGTTTTATTATTCCAGCAGTTTTTGATTATTTTTTAATCAAACTATACAATAGATTAAGTAACTTATTTGAAAAACTACTCTTTTTAACTAGCTGTTAGCTGTAACGGTTAAATATTAATAATTTTTCTTTGTTATGTTCAAAATTGTAATAGTTCTACCTTAAAGCATGCGGAACAAATGCACTTTATCAACCCCCTCACGATTTTCAATTTTTTTTTCAGACGACTTGTTTTTTTATGCTTAAAACGATGGTGTAATTTTTTTTTCCGGAAACCATTATTTTGGAAGTTATAGCCTTCCAAAGTTTGCGATTTTACGTTTATTCGCATGCGCACAACACCACTACTTTACTGCCGCAGTATGGGCAGTGATTACACAGTTTGCGGCACTCGTCGCTCCGCTCCTTGGCGCCGTCGATCCACTCCGTAAATCAAAAATATCCCTCGATTTGCTGTGTAAAACCACCTTGGGTAGGCCTCGGAATTAAACAATGTTGTTAAAAAGCAATTATCAATTATATTGAAAAATAGTATTAAATATATTTTAGGCGCTGCGCGTGGCAGTCAAGTGCATAAACGTAAAATACACAAACTTTGGAAGGCTATAACTTCCAAAATAATGGTTTCCGGGAAAAAAAAAATACACCATCGTCTTAAGCATAAAAAAACAAGTYATCTGAAAAAAATTTGAAAATCGTGAGGGGGTTGGTAAAGTGCACTTTAGCCAAGCATGCTTAGTGATTTTATCAAATGGTTGTGATTGGTAATTTCAATCACAATGTATTGAAAAACAATTGATAAACTAATGAAATTGTTTAATAATTTAATTTAAAATAATAAATGATTCAATCTGTGATTAACTGAATTTATTATTATAATAAATAATTTTCAAATATGTAGTTATTTTTTTCTTATAGATTTAAAAACCACAATTTAGCAAATACAAATAGGCCAAAAATTTACTTCAATTTCTACATAGTTTTAAATAGCATGTTTTTGATAAATTTCATTATTTAAACCAATACCTATGTTAAAAGTACTTAAATTAAGAATTTAAAAAATGTTTAATATTAAAAAATTTGTCTGTTTATATAGTATTTAATAAAATACATATTATGTGATAATTAATTGTCTTTAGTACCAGTATCATTGGATGAAATATCTAATGAATGGTCAAAAACAAATGCTCCGTTACACATAAAAAAAGTAGCAGAATATTATGGGATTTTTGAGCATTTATTTGGAGATGCCTATTTTACGCCTTACATTCAAATGGATATTAGTTATGAATACAACTCAAAAAAAGTACCTGTTTATCGAGGAAATATTATTAAACCGAACGAGGTATTTATTGTATTTTTTAACTTTTTTTAATTATGTTTACAATAGTTTTGTTGTAATAGGCTCAGTATAATCCAGAAGTAAATTTTGAAGCTCCTGAAAAGACATTATGGACATTAATGCTTACAAATCCAGATGGACATTTACATGAAGAAAATTCTGAATACATCCATTGGCTAGTGTATGTATTTCACAAAAGTTCTTTTATAATTTTAATTTAAAACACTGATGCCTTATTATGTTTAGCGGAAATATACCAGATGGAGATGTTAAAAGAGGCGAAACAGTGTTTAATTATTTACAGCCATTTCCAGCAAAAGGAACAGGATACCAAAGAATGATCTTTGTTCTTTACAAGCAATCCACAGAAATAAATTTTTCTTCTATTAAATTAGTTAGTGAAAAGTAAGTTAAATTTTTTAATTCTTATAGTATATATTATTATTGTGCCTAAGGGCACAGAATTGACACGGATTGTATATATTTAATTAAAAAAATAAGTTTTAAATTATAAAAAACCGTGCAAGACCAATATATCAAATGAATGGGCAGTAAAAGTGTTAGTATATTTTGCTCAATCTGTAACAGTGCAACATACATTAACTTATTATACTATTAGTAATAATGTGTTAAAAAAGACAAATACTTATAATAAATTATTTCTAGAATAGATTTGGCCAAAAGAACATTTAGAACTTTTGATTTTTATCGTTCTCATGAAGATGTCATGACACCAGCTGGATTAGCATTTTATCAAACTGATTGGGATAATTCATTGACTAAGTTTTATCATGATCAATTATCCATGCCAGAACCAGTTTATGAATATGATTTTGAACCTCCATATATTAAACCACAAAAGTGGTTCCCTCTCAAAGAACCATTCAATTTGTAAGTTTATAATAATTTATTAGTTTTAATTTTCAATAATGTAATTATTTTATTTTAGATACATGGACAAGTATCGGGATGAAAAACAAATAGCTAAAGAATTTTTACTTAGAAAATTAAGAAAAACAAATCCATTCAAAAAACCTGAACCCCCCCTTAAGTATCCAAATGCAGTACCATTCAAGAAAACTACTCCGTCTTGGTTAAAACTTGAGATGAAAAAAGAACGTCTAAGATGGGGACGTGTAAATGATTATTAAAATTTTAAATCATTTACGACAGTTTAAATATTTACTTCWTTGTTCATAAAAAAAAAAATAAATAAACATGATTCTCATTCTTCAACAAATATTCTTGTTTATTTTACCAAATCGTAGTAAATTCTCTATCATGATTTTAACTTTTTAGTTTTATCTTAATACATCAAAATTTGGTCTACTAGTATAAGGTCTGGTTAGATCTACTAGCATGTTCTGAATACATATATAAATCCTAAATAATAATCATATTTAAGTTTTTTATGAAACTAAAAACAATTATTAGACAGTTATTAGTCTTGTCTGTTTAATTTTCATTGTTATTTTCAGTTTAAATTTGGATTATTCAAAATGATTAATTAAGAATTTAGCTATAAAGTCAAAATATATTACACTATGGTTTACAAATTGAATACTCATAATTAGATAATAGCCTTCATAAATTATTTTTTTTAGTTATTACAATTTTAAATTGAAAAGTTTATRTATACATCAAATAAGTTATAAAACACATACAAATATAACTATTAGTTTATTATTCCAAATCTATTTACTATATTGCAAACATTTTAAATAGAAACAGCAATATTTATTAATTGTATAAAACAAGTTAGAGAGTAGCATAATATAAAAAATAATTTAAATTTAACAAATGCAACTTAAAAATAGAAATAGTCAATGCTGAATGAAATGTAGTTGTAACTATTACTAATGTAGAATAATTTTATTATACAATACATTTTTTAAAATTAAATTGATATACATTATTTACTTTTTAATGTAAATTATGTTAGTCAGTAAATTCATTTTTTATGATTAATTATTTTCTACTGTGTTTGCATTAATAAACATCATTTTATCTACTAGTTCTTGATTTATTTGGGATCTTTTTATATAATACAGTGTTTGTAACTCAAGTGGTAATTTACTTGATGATCCACTAAGAGCATATACAAAATGTTTTCTTGCTAGTCTTATTAGATTATGACATTTTGATGACATTCTTGACCACCACATAAGTGGACACTCTTCGAGACAAGGAGTTGGTTCAGATTCATACTGAGCAATTTCTAAATTAAGTCGATCTTCAAGTGACATATTATGTTTATTAATAACGGGAGAACTTTTTACATTGGCAACACTTCCAAGTAAAAATCCAATACCTAAACCATAATTTAAATTAATTGTAAATACATTCAGGTGATTATTTTTTTAATATATTGTATATAGTTATGCAGTTAAAATTTGTATATTAATTTTGAAACACTAACCTGATATTCTAGGTTTTTTAGATACATTTGTGTCAATTTCTGTTATATTCGATTTAGTATCATAAGTAACAGAACCTTCAATTTCCACCATTTTTACAAGTTCCTGTTTAATTGTTGGAAGATGTTCTTCACCTTCAGTCATAGGAAAATCTTTGAATCTTGGATCTAATAATGTTGCTATGTGTAAAAATGTTTGTACATCAATATTATTGTACCTAAAAATGTTAATTAATAATAAATAAATCAGTAAAAAGAATCATTGGTGTAACTTATTCTTACTTCCAGTGAAGTTCATTGGCAAATGTATTCTTTAAACTAGCAGCCAGATTTGAATCCCCGGGTTTAACTTTCAAATGATAGCTGGTTAGTTGATTAATCAAAGGTTTTAACAATGATATCAATGGTATCTTTTCTTCACTAAGAGTAGTAACAGTGACTTTTAAAGGCTCAAGAGTTGTAACAACATCTTCAATAACAGACCAATCTTTATCAGTTAACAACTCATGGGGAAAAAATCCGATATCCAATGTATTGCATAGAGTTTTAATGGTTTCTTTTCGTTGAACAAAACGTTCTAAATAGTGATATGTTGTAGTCCAAATTTGTGGGTACTCTCGACTAAGAAATGAATTATATACTTGAACAACATTATCCTGAACCGTGACAGATGTTAAAGCATTATGGTGATGTAATTTAGCAGAAACTGTTCTACATTTTGTTAAAACATTTAATACTTCTTCAGTTTCAAAGCAATTTTTTGTACATAAATTCTAAAAAAAAAAAAAATATGAAAATATTCTCAATTCAAATTCTAAATTATACACACTTGTAATTCGTAAATTAGGCATGGTATCAAAACAAAACCTTGAGTTCGTAATGCTGCATCTAAATTATCGTTTGAAAATGCTTTGATGACAGTTTTTACTTGTTCAATATTAATACTCCAATTAACAAACAATGAACCCAAAATTCCACACCATTCATTAGCAGTTCTGTTAGGGTTACATAAAATTGTGGCTAGTTGTTTAATACACAAACCTTCTTTATCCAACTGTACATTTAGAAACATTTTTATTAGATTATTTTTAAATTTTTTTAACTCTCATCTATAATATTACCTGTTGGAAAAATACACTTATTGTAATATAAACATTTAAGCTAGAACATTTCCACTCTTCTATACCTAAAGCAAAAGTGCTGCAACTGTTTGCAATACTATTGAGAACAGCAGATCTGGTAGTTTCATAAATTCTTGGTATTATGTACTGTTCTAATTTATATTTTCCTGGAATTTCACACGGGGACCTCAATGTAGCAATAAGGCGTTGAAAGCCTTTGCCTTCTACAATATCTGGTAAATGAAGATCAGCTATAACAAAATCAGTAATTGCATCCGATACAACTTTATTGATCACATCATTTGGCTAAAAAATAAAAATAAATATTTTAAAATATATATTTAATTATAGTAAACAAATAATATTTATAAATGAAACTTATTATCTTTAATCATAAAGTAATTTAACAAATTTTCTTAGAAACAGAAAATGAGTGGTAATATATGTCATTACATACTGAATTATCAATCTCTTGAAAAATAACTGACATCTGAGGCGTTTGTTCTTGGATATTATTAACATTTTCCCCAACAAACTGTTCATTAATTTCTCCTTGTATATACACATCCTGTTGTTTTATCCTACAACTAGACCTATTAACATCCACTTGGCCTTCAGATGTAGCTAATAACATTAGTTCATTTTTTCCATGTCTTTTTTTTGGACTTCCATCTTTAGATGACCCCATTTCTAGTACCATTAATTCAGTCTTATGTCTGCTTTGCAAGTGTACTCTCAGGTTGGTAGTATTACTTTTGTAAGCAAATTGCTTTTTACAAAGTATACATATAATTCGATCTTGTGTGAGTATACTGCCATTGTCTGAGGCAGGAAAACCAAAATACTTCCAGTAAGGACTATGCATACGCTTCGGTACAACTAATTTTTGGTAACTGACAGTTTCAATGTTTGAACGGTCCGGCACTATTTTAGTATAAGGACGTTTACTTTTTTTTTTTTTGCCATCTGTAAAATCAACAAACATATTTAAAAATCACAAGAAATTATTTAATACATTTCAAGATAATTTCTGCTTTTTAATCTAATTTTAAAGTGCTTTCTACAAATTTCAAATAAATCCACAGCTTACTGTTTGATGTCCCGGAGAGATTTTGTGAGGTCGATTGCAAAAATGGGTTTAATTCAATTGATATTTTATTACTCCGATTCATAATTTATTAGTACTTGAAATTTGCCTCCAAAATTCGGATATTTCACATAAAAAGTTGACTATCGATAATGCGATAATTATATTGCTTTTATCGAAATCAATTTTCGGATAGTAGTATGAACAACAAAAGAAGAAATAAACACTACACTACACAGAGTACAGAAAAATAGACTAAACCTGTCTGAAAAACATCGATCGATGTTCCAAGTTGGTTTGTGAGATATCGTTTTCACAATCCTAAAACGGGTGGTGCTCCAGTGTAGCCATATATTGAATATAAATAGTACCCAGTGACAAACACAAAGGTCAATTTATTTATCATGAAAAAGTTTAGAAGACAAAATATCAGCACACTAGCACAGTCGCACAGAATAAATAATATAAAAGTCACAAAAAATACGATTTAAGATCTATATTTTATGATTTAAGGAAACTTCTCTGTTATCGTCTTACATAGTACTAATTAGTACATACATATTATATACGATATAAAAAATGTCCGTTGACCAGTTTCAGTAATCAGTCGTAACCATTATTTTTGAATTTTGATATTATAAATTATAATTGACTTATGAGAATATTCAAATTATAACATTTTACATGCTTATAACTCACTTAAAAATTAAGATGTCGTAAAAATTATGTAATAGAACACGAATAATGTTTTTACCTATAACGACTAAAGGTTGAGCGATGGTATGTCTCTAACCTCTCACTACAGTACATAATGATCTTAAAATTAAATATTAAAACAGTCTCTAAAACAACTAAAAATTACTGTAAAAAAATGTCGCACCAAAATAGTTAACCACAAAAAGTCATTGATCTCTATAACTTATCCAGTGAATTCATGCCAACCAACTATCCCACAGCCCCACGTCGATTAAAAAGACATTGATGTCGAGACTCGAGATCTCTTGAATCCGGAAATGTATTAATACTATTAATTGAAGAAGAAAACTTTTCTCCCCCAAGTTAGAAAGTTCCCACACTGGTGGGCATCCCTCCTCACACGCCATTTATTCATGTTGTGTTTATTGTATCTCAGCTTTATCAAATTCACAAACAGCACACACATGAAACCGGCCATGTCGTGCAACCATAGATAAGATAATGGATCTACTTTATTATCTATGCGTGTATATGACAGAAACACGATCTGGGTGACTGGGTGCGATCCAACATTCTAACCATCTAACTTAACCATGAGGACCCTTCATATAGGTTTTAACACAAAAATTATATTTTCATACTTTTTACCGAATCAAAAGAATTTTATTAACATTAATTATAGAAAAACAACTAAAAGATTGAAGATGTATTAAAACAAGTAGCTAATAAACAATTAAGTCTCAATGACTAGCAGTTAGGGTGACGTATGAGGAACTTGGAGCGGTACGTTCACCCGTAAATAATAAACATAATAATATTAATATTATATACCAATAATTATACCAATTGGTACGTGACCTAAGCGGTTGATCTAGATCCGTGAAACCGAGTGCTTTTCTCCTTGGACTACAAACAGAGCAGATACTTATTTAGTATTTAACAGTATGTTGATTCAATCAATTCTTGAAGTATAGGCAATTATAAATACCATGTACAATATTTGAATAAGAATACTAAATCAGAGGTAGTATTTTATAACACACAAAGAAGACGTTTTAAATAAGTTTTGAATAAATTAATACACACCCGCTCACCCGCCCCCCCCCTAAGTAACGACCCTTACTTCTGAGGGTACTGCTTTAATATTTTCCGTTACACGACTTCAACAGAAATTTTTTTTTTACTGAACCAAAGGTGCCAGTATTGCTGTATTCCTGTTTCTAATTTAATTTATTTTTGAGTAAATATACTCAACAACACTTTTTAAATGATCTATTTTTCACCTAATATATTATATGAATACATAAGAATGATAAAAAGTGTTTCCGGTTATATGGGCATTTTAATTAATTGTATTTATTCTATGATAGAAGTTTTATTTAGTTCATGGTTTTTCCGAAATTCTTAATTTGGGTTTGGCAATGATTGCAATTTGTATATTCTTTTCTGTCGGTCCATTTTATTGCTAAGTTAAGAATAAATCTAAAAATAACAATTTCTTCATGCCATGTTTTTTAAATGCATACATATTTTTTTTCAATATTTATGAATTATAAAAACAAAAACCTTTTGAAAAATATAAAACTCACAAACTTTGCAATATATACCATCATCCTGAATTAATAATTGTACGTACAACTTTTACATAAACTCTAGTATAAGTTTGTTTCCAGGCTTCCAGCCATCAGTGGCGCAAAAGTGTTAGAAACATTGTATATGACATCGTTCTTTAAGGCGCACCCATTAGATGTAAATCAAAACACCTAACTGATAAAAGGATTAATCATTTATTTTACATTAATTCTAGATCTACAATGTGGTCACAGCAGTATCCTACAGCGGGCTTCTCGACTTCAATAAGACCAGTCTTGTAAAAGATACTTTTAAAAAGTATTTAAAATACGTATTTGAATACTTGAAAAAAAAAGTATTTAAGTACAAATACAAATACTTTTAAAAAGTATTTACAGATACTTTCAAATACTTTCAAATCTTTTTTCCTTGGCCTAATGACCTTATAGATAAAATGAATTATTATTTATTAATCAACTAAATTATTTTTTTATTTCAGAACTCTAATTTTACTTAAATTAATTAGAATAAGAATAATTAAGTTAGAATAATTAAAAAGTAAGACGAAAAATTTTTTTTTTTAAATAGGATTTGATTTTAAATACAGATACCTTCAAAAAAGTATTMAAATACTATACCCAAGTACTTTTTTCAAATGTATTTAGAATACGTATTTGAGTACTTAAAAAGTATTTGAATACTTTTATTCAAATACTTTCACTCAAGTACTTTACAAGTCTGAATAAGACTATAATATTCTATGACATAATTATGTCATATAATATAGATTAGGCGCCATCGCAGCTATCTAATCATTCTAATCAGTTGACAGTTACTAGTTTACTACCAGAGAGGCAGAGAATGTGACTGGCATTGGGCATTGGTTTTCTGTGCACTGTATACAAGGTGCATAAGTTTTAACACTCATGAAGTACTATGCAGTAGGCCACTAGGGCGGGTGACAGTAAATATTTATTTTGTATAAGTAAACGTACAAAAATAAACTTTACATTACTTACTGCATAATACATTTTTGTTATATAATATATTAATGCTTATAAACATTAAAAAATTTTAAATACAGTATGACATTAGACGGGACGGGTACAGTTTTCCCGAAAACTAAAAGAAAAGTAATCATCGAATTTAATTAATTATATTACAGTGATTTATATTTTATCTAACATGCTTATCTCCATTATTCTTTTAAAGGGAGATTGTAAATTCAGCCCGAAACATTTCGCCAGGAATAAATATTTTTAAACTATGCGTTCCGTGACTGTATCGTACTGTTCGCAACGTGATTTCGAAGCTGTATACAACGCAATCCATATGGCCAAATATTCAAATGTATGGTTGTCGCTTCCATTTATAAATTGTGGTATAGGTATATATTCAAACAGTAGGATTAAGTTGTGTGGAGTATATATATAAACGAAACCTTGAATATTAGAAATTGGATGGTTAAATGTTTTAGATTAGTTTTTTCCTGAGCCCTAGATGGTTTCTGATTACCTATTTTGAAATATTTTTGAGTACTATAAGTACTAAGCCAAATGACCATAGATTAACACAATTTTCTAATTATTTATTAAATAATTATATGACGCGTCTTTCACCTAAACATATGGGCTGCTGTTATAGCAGATTTGAACAGAACGATTAATGCTTGTGAGTCATTTCATTCCCATTGTAATATAAGTTTTAATTCTAATCATCCTCATATTTTTATATTTTTAGAAAAACTTTATCAAATTAAAATAAGAAAATTACATAAAAATAAATAGAATAAATGAACCACATAAGTATAGAAATTCAAAATAAAAATAAAGTATATTTTTAGGTGGAATTCACATGCATCCCTTCTAAAAAATTTAAAAAATGGATTTTTAAATTTACCAAATTTCCAAATTCTGGAGATTTAATTGTACCACTTTTTTGTGGAGATGCGAATATCTATTTGTTAAATGAAAATCCACAAAACAGTACAAAAATTTATTTAGCGAAAATGTAGGTTATCATTTGTTAAATATTTCAGTAGAGACTAATATTTTGGCAAACTGCTAAAATAAGTTTTGGATCAATTGATTTATTCAATTCAAATGTCGTCTAAAATCTTATTCAAGTGAAATATTTTCTGGTAAAATATTATTCAACTGAAATACTGTCAGGTACATATTTTCGGACTTTTTATAACTCTGGGAGCACTCTTTTCTTAATTTACAGTAAATTAATTGTGGATAATATTTTAGATTCTGAGCGGAGCGATGAATGTATTGATTTTACCATGATGTTTTTTTTTTGTGTCTGTCATTACGTTTTGGGGCAGTAAAAGTGCTTCGATTTTTGACTTCAGTACCTCGTTCGATCAGAAAGTGAATCTAGTTGGTACTTTGGGGGGTCAAAAGGGGAGAATTATTTTCTAAATAATCGAGAAAAACAAACTAAAAATTAAGGGAAAAACTGGAAATTTTACGCACACTCATTTTTCGACAAATCGATTTTGGTTTTTGATGTAACTTTAAAACAAATGACCATATAGATACATGAAATTTTCACCGAATGTTTATATATGTATATTCTATCCACCATGCAATTTTCAAACATTTTCGACTCAAGTTGAACTATTCATAGGCATTTGAAATTTTCGATCATTATTAGTTTTTTTTAAATTAATATTGATAAAAATATATTTGTTAGGCAGAAAAGCTTGAAAATTTAATACAAGGCTCTTGCCATATTGTTACAATA